TCATCTCCCAGTACTTTGGCCTGCATGATTTGTTGAAGTCCAGACAAGTGTGGACTAAACCATCCAAATGAGTGGGCATTGTGTTGCACGATGCCCAGCTTCCAGTGTGCCATCTACCTTGGCATCTAGAAGTGCATTTGTGGGAAAGAGAATTGTTCTGAGGCCAGTGCAGGTAGTTTGAACAGTTCTGAGACCAGCAGTAAGGTCAGCATTTGGAGCCAGCAGCACTTGGTGGCGGTGACAGTTGCAGACTATTTTGGGAATGGAGGAGGCTTTGTTTTGTAAGGCCTTCTCTGTGCTCCCAGGGTTAACTCTGGTACTGCTCAACCATCAGCCACTTTTGCCTTTGATATAGAGAACAATGTTAGGTACAGTAGAGTGATCACAATGCTCTTTTCCCATTTATTGATAAAATCAAGTAGTTTTCCTTGGAGATACCTTGTCACTGCCAGGAAAATGTGATGTGCTGATGTTAGGAAGCTTTAAATTATTACCTGCAATTTTTCTAAATAGCTCTTTGGACTAATAATTAAATAATATATCCTTTTCTTAAGGAGCTGAGAATAAGTTTTACCTTGGTAATATTCTATGTGTTGCAGGAATGCAAAAACAGAGGGAAATGGGCATAAGCCACAGCAGAAGGAATTTGGGTTAAATATAAGGAAGAATTTCCCACTGATATCATGGGTAACACCAGAAATTTGTTTAACAGCTTTGCCTGTTCAAGGAAAGGAAAGACGCATTTATCTGGAAGGTTCTATATAGCTCTGTGTAAAGGCATAGTGTTGGAGCCCATGGCCCTGGACAGGTTTATAAATGGGTGAATCTGCTCATCGACCATGCTTCAGTTGTGAATGAGTCAGCAGCACAGCTGCAGATGGAGTGGGCAGAAGGGCATCTAAATTTAGTCGCTATTACTTGAGAAGGTTTTCAGGGACTGTTCGTCTCTCCCCCATGACTTTAGTCCTATTCCTTCTTCTGGAAGAAAAACAAGAAGAAAAGAAGGAAGAATTGTCACTCCAGGATATTTTTTGAGAGTGAGTGTCCTACAACTCTGTTGACTGGTTTCCCCAAGTCTGATTCTCATTCAGCTTCACTGTGTAAATACTGCTTTATTCTCATAGCTCCTGACCTTGGAAACCCACAGGATCATGGACATCAGAATTCAGACTTACTACACAAACTCCAAAATCTTGCTAGTTTAAAGACATTTTAACCAAACTGCCTTCCCCCTATTATTCTGCAGTTGGGGGAGGACAGTGATGGGTGAGGAGTAAGTACAGTTTGTGCTTTTTCTTGGGGAAGTTGCTATTTGTTAAATTATTGACTTAAAAACAACAATATCAGGCACTATTCCACTGGTTTATCTCCTTCCATCCTCACAAAACTGTACAGGATAGTTGGTATTCCCATGCTACAGACCATACACCAATACTAGATTAGAGACTTCTCTATAAATTACATGCATTGGCAGGTATGCAAGCCCAAGTCTGTCTGACTCCAAAACAGGTGCTTTTTAACAATACACTGTCCTTCACCTGGTAGAAAATGGGAAATAATTTAACTGTTGACCTATTTTATTTTCTCTGAGATGATTCTTTGGAGACTGAAGATCTGCCAAATTATATTGTACATTAGGCCAGCTTTTGTTGTTATTCTTACAATGTCATTCTCAGGGATATAAGTTGGGATAGGGTGAAGGACATTAAGAAAAGAAGGGGAGAGAAAGAAGAGAGGAGGAAAGAGAAAAGATATTTTCTCCCATTTGATACCTGGACTAGCTGGACTTATTTTAGGCCCTCTGGAATTTGGCTGCTATCATCTTCAAAGGGCAAAGAATGATCTTGAAAACTTTGGCTTCCAAAAGTCTGCCTCATGGTGGTGTAGCTGTTGGAGCAAAGTTTTTAGACTCTTCTTTTAGAGCCAAAGAAATTTTGCAATAATGTAAGAAGTAGTTGACCAAGCTGTTCTGGTCAGCACAGTTAAGATGGCACATTTGACCTTCTTGATACAGTAGTTTAGTATTTATTATTAGTTAGTCAAAGGGTGTACCTAACCTCTAAAACACTTTCTTCTCCTAGGACTTGAGTACCATTTTGAAAAGTACCCCTTCCATCTTTCACTTAGAAGTTTTTATTAACACTTTTTAATAAGGTGTTAAGTTGACTAAACCTTGTCCTGTGGGATTGCAGACTGGTATATGATATCTGACAGATTTTGTGATAAACATAATTATGAATTATTTTAAAATATTATGAATATTACTGACATGCTTTATGGAGTGAAGAGTATATGGAGAATGCTTGTAGAAATTCACGAACCTAAGAAAACGTCATAGACTGTAATTTTAGGAACTGCTTATTGAAGAAGAGACCAGTATGAATGCTAATGAATCTCAAGTCATCTGACTTGGAAAGGTCAGCTTGAAGGAATACATTATATGGCATCAAGTCAAATCTAGGCTGGTATGTTTAATCTTAGTAACTGTAAAAAGATTATGGGTGAGAAATGGATGAGGAAAAATTAGCAAAGATGCTTTTTGCAACCATGGATACCTAATTAAATTTTTATTTAAAATGGGTTAACCTTTTTCCATCCATCCTTCAGCTTCTAGGCAGGATTGGCATGAGGTTATCTTTGGAGGAAATTCCCATAATTTCTCTTGGTAAAATATGTACTAGTTAGGATCCAAAGTTCCTACTTGAAGTCTTTCCCCAAGAATCCTTTGCTGTTTAAATAGTTGCCCATTATGGCCATAAAATATTCCTTGGTATGTTTGATTGAAAATAGCAGTTCTCAGACTGTGATTTCATAATTCCCTTATGCTTTAAAAATTTATTCAGTTCTGCAAAGAGCTTTTATTCATATGGACTATTATAGTTGAGAACTTTTAAAAATGTGTTTATTAATTCATTTAGAGTAGCAAAGTCCATTTATATGTTAATATAAATCACATTTTAACAAAAAACAAAAAATAATAAGAGTGACTTTGTTTTATATTTTTACAAATCTCTTTTAATGTCTGTGTTTAATCTATTGTGATATTGTTTCAATAAATACATATAGGAAAATATGGTCTCAAATAGATAATGTACTTGGAAAAATGAGTATTTTAATTATCTGTTCAATTATGAATATTCTTGGCTACAATACTAAAACTCTAACACATAGTTTCTTAAATGTTAATTGCAATGGAGAATCTGAAAACATGTTAATGGACTGTTCATACTTTGTGAAATAAAATTCAAGGGTTTAACTTGTGCTTTGAATGAATTTTTTAGCCATATAGGATTTTCTGACACCACGCATTTCACTGTTTGGGAAATATATGTGTTCATTGAGTTATGCAGATCTTCCAAATGTTAACATGTTTCATTATACAATATCAACAAATCACATTTATTGGTAGTCCACAGATCTATCTCCTCAGAAGAGTGAGTGTTGGGCCACTGTCAAGCAGTTGGTATGGTAGCATATGGTAGTGGACCTGTTCCCCAAAATTTTGATTAAACTTGAATGGTTAAGTTTTATTATTGGCTATAAATACTAGTTGGTTTGTCTGAATAGGCTTACTTTGTTTATTTTCAAGTCTTACTAATCATAACTTGTCAGTTCTTTAACATAAAAACAGCATTCCACAAGAAAAGCAGCTAGTTCATCTCAAAACTCAAACAGGTACAAGTGCTTTTCTTTTCTTTTCTCTTTATTTTTGGTGCTTTTTTTTCCTTTAGAGACAGCCTCATCCTTTGCTGTGCAACAGAAGTTAAGTGCTTTATGCATCCTTCCATTTTGTTGCACATAATATTAAAAACACTTGTAATTAAGAGTTGATATTTAATACAATTGATCATTTTTACTGCTTCATCAAACAATTCACTTCACAGTGAAACTGGCTTTTTGCTTGTTATTTAACTGCAAATGCATGGTTGGGACAAAACATTGAGCCCTAGAAGCTTTGATGCCATTCCCTTGATTCATGCTAAGGCACCAGCAGTTCTACCCATCACACACTTTGGATCATTAGTACAAATGTCACCACAGTGGAAAAGGCAAATAATCTTTTTAATATTGTTACAGAAATCATCTTGATCTGGCTAATTGTTTCTCAGCTTAAGTTTAACTTTTTATTGAAAAGGAGAGAATTAGAAAAGAAGTTTAAAAAGGAGAAGTCTCATTTGTTCCTGAGCCCTGAATTATCCTAACTATTTTGGAACCATCTGAGCCTTGATCATGATTACCTTTATTAACATGGGTTTTTTACCTTCTTCTTATCCAGTAAATATATTAAGACAGTCTTTGCAGATCTCATTGCTGTAGTGACTGTTTCTTTTAGGATTATGGTAGGCCTAAAGCCTTTCAAAAAGTTCATCTGTTTTCTCCTATTTATTGTTGTGATAGGGGCAGTTAAGGACCCCTAGCCACCCATTACTACAAACATTCTCTGCCATATTGTTATAAGTTATTCAAAAACTCCATAAAAAAAAAATACATTTCTTTTTTTAGAAATGATCTCATCTTTTCTCACCAAAGCAGGGATTGTTTAGCAACCCCAGAATTTTAAAATACAACAATACCCCACTGAAAAAATTAAATTTGACCCTATGTGACAATTTTCTTTTAAAATTCATGAGCCAAAAAAAAAAATCACATGCAAATCAATGGTTTCTAACTTGTCTCCTTTTTAATAATATGACAGTGAAACAGTTCACCCATTGTAGTACCTTACAAATCAGTTTCACAATTCTATGGTACTATAGATAAGATTAAGTATCATTATTCTGTTTTACAGTTGAGATATTGATGCATGGAGACATTCAGGGGCTTGCATAAGATCACAAAGCTTAGAATTCATACTTCAGACACTTTTATCAGTATGCAAAAATAGAAATTAATATATCATTAGAACTACTCTATTGTCAGTGTCCAGAGCGGTGTCTGGAACAGAGTGAAACTCAGTAAGTGCTTATTGAATGAATGAACGAATGGACTTTTCATTTCAGGCCTGTATTGATGAAAATTTGGACATGGTCAAGTTTCTGGTGGAGAACAAAGCCAATGTAAACCAGCAGGATAACGAGGGCTGGACACCCCTTCACGCAGCAGCTTCTTGTGGCTATCTCAACATAGCAGAGTAAGTCTCTGTGGCTTTGGCTTGTTTGTAGAAATAGCCATGTTTTTGCTTCTGCTCTTAAGAATTTGAATTCATAAATTAAAATCTCTCTTACAATTTATAGAGGTATGAGGTTGAATTAGTTTTAAGGAAAAATTTATACTATGTTTTACATATCTGCTAGAACCACAGTTATTTAGATGAAGCTTTTTGTTTGTTACTACTTTCAGGTCATTTGTTGTGATATGCAGAGGTGTCTTCTGTGTGTTGTACTGTCCTGGTTCACTTTTTGAGCAACCATCACTAGGCACATATGTGGGTGGGCCTGGAGATTTTTTTTACAGACTTCTTTATAAACTTGTTTTATTGTTTTTAAAATATCATGCTCAGGGGCCTCCCCTGGTGGCATGGGTGGTTGAGCGCAGTGCTGTGAAGCTGTCCGCAGCCTCTGCAGCGCTGTTTCGATACCGGCCGGCCGGCAAGGATCCCACATGGTGAGGCAGACCTCTCATGTCTCGCCCGCTGCTCCCCCCAGCAGTGTATTTCGTCAGCCTGCCTGTTCTGTTCCCCACTCTGTCTCTGGTGAATCCTCTCACCTTCCCGCGAATCTGGCCTATACCCCAGTTCTTGTATAAATCAATCAATCAATCAATCTTTAAAAAAATAAATAAATAAAATATCGTGCTTAGCACAGATAAAGTTGGAGAATGCCTGGTATTCTAACCATAATACTTACTAGTTAATAGAAGAATGAGCCAAACATATATGAAACAAAGGAAAGGTAGGAATTGGCATATGTTCTAGCAATTAGTTGACTCAGTGGCCACTAACTTCCATGACAACTACTTGTCCCTTCCTTGGACAGAGGAATCCTGACCACATGGTGCCCGGGATGTAGGAGGTACTAAATAAATGCCTATTGAATGAAGGAATCACCAGGGAGGTTATTTTTAAATAGGAAAGAGACTTTGACAGTTGAAATATCTTTAAGACAAAACAATTGAATGTGTTCTAATTAAGGTAAATTTAGATTGGAAAGGTAAATTCCCTAAATAAAATTATGATAGTCTGTGGTCTTTTGGAAATCAGATTGCTTGTTTTAAGATCTTTTTCAATATGGTTAGGGCTCTGTTATATTTCATTTATTTGAGCAAACAGCAGGGAGAATAATGTTGGCACTCCATAGAGGCCTGGGAATGGCTTCCCGCAGAAACTAATTTGTCCAAGTTTCCTGTGGGGAGAGCCTGTGTCTCTGGCTTGGTGTTGAGGCAGGGATGTTCAGTGGAGAAGTTAAACAAAGGGACAGTCAGCGCCAGAGAAACATTAGACAGCAGCACTGGTGTTTGACTGGGCTGCTTGTTCTAGAAAGGGGATGGCTGGATTGGCCCCAAAGCCAACAGAAATGGAACAGTGTAGTTTTCTTCACTCTTGGTTCTTTACTCTGTTTTAATTTAGTAAAAGTCAGTCACTTCTTCATCTCCTAGACTGCCCCCTTTTCAGAGTCTCATAGGACAGCTGACTCCCAGCCATCCCCACACATGCCAACATTCTGATGCTCAAAGAGTTAAGATAACTTTCTTTAGAGATTTTGATTTTTACTTTAAAAATTTATCTAAGAGACATTTCTAAGAGACATAGCCCCTCATTAAATTGATATTTAATTATTTGTGCAGGTGGCTTGTTTGTAACTTTTGAGCTGCCAAATCTTGCTACATTCAAGGATTTCACTTTTTCCTTTGGAAGGTAACAAGCCGAGCTCATGCTTAGAATTAGGATCACTTCTGTTGGCATTATCCACGAAGTCTCTTTTTTCTCCTTTTGTGAAGCTGGTACAGAGAATGATTGTAAATGTATTTTTATAGTGGTTTCTTTAATTCATCTTTATGGCAAATGCAGTTTCTTTGGAAATAAGTTCAAAATTTAGCAATTTCTTGACCAAATAATTATTCCTTGACTGAAATGAATCTGTGAGAGTTACTATTTCCTCATGCGAATTATAACTAATTTGACCTATGACAGTCAGACCAGGAGAGCCATGATGAGGCCAGAATTAATTGCACGGATGGGGTGGTAAGAGGGCTGGTCTTCATCAATTCATTTTCATTATGCATATCGTTATTAGACAGACTTTTACTTTGCTGTTGTTTATTTGCAATGTGCAGTGTTGTTTTCTACACAAGGAAAAAGAGCTTATATTGTGTGTTTTGGTTGCTTTACCGTGGGGCCTATGAACTGTGTGTTAGATGATTTGCTCTTGATCATCTTGTCATTTTTCTCTTTATATCATAAAAGTCTTGAACTTTACAGTCTTATTCCCAGTATCATTAGGAATGCTAAATTTCAAGGACGTTGAAATGAGCAAAAGGCAAATTGACTTTCTAGGAAAAAGCCAAGTGTATTCTATTGTGTGTTCTATAATGACTTCGTTGTCTCACACTGGAACTCAGTATGACATATTTTTTAAAAGAGGTTTAGAGAGTATTTTCCCCTTATTTTAACTTGATTCAGGTTTAATCCTAGTTAGCTGAATGGTTTACAATTTTATTACCAATGAATGTTTACCGTTGAAGCAGCCAAAGGGCAGAGCATTTCATTTGGTCTGATAGTTTATTGGGATGCTAATTTATTCTGAGTTTTGGCACACATTTCATTTTCTTTCTTCCTCCCTTAGAACAGTAGCAAAAGACCTCATATCTATGGGTTAGGAAGGGTAGAAAGGCTTTATTTCTAAAGGGCATATTTATTGAGCTAATGAGTATTTCTGAACCTCTGGGCAACTAAAAAGATTCTCAGGAGTAAAGTAGATGTAATATCATAGGTTGACATGTATTCTTTTTCAGATAAAATTGTAAAACTAAAGTTTATGCTTTTTTCCTAAAATTGGTTTAGGTAGGTAGTTTTACTTAGCAATAATCTCTTTCTGATTCATGGCAAGCCAGATTACTTTCTAGAAATGAGTAGTCTTGATCATGAGCCTAAGAACATGTCAGAAAAAGGAAATGCAGGGACCTGTGTACCCAAGTGACATTGTACCTGATCCGTAAGGAATGGGATAGATGTCAGAGCAGAATGATTAAGATGTTTAAGTTATTTCAAGCAATATTTATGGAGTGCCAAGAGAAAAGAGAGTGTCAGATATCATCATAGATGTGATGGCAGTGACAATGGTGAGGAAGACTCAGCTGTCCTCAAGTAGCTCTCAGCTTGGTCAGGAGGTTGCATTATGATACAGTGTATGTCATGACAGAGATCCAGGATTGGAGCTGGGGAGGTGAGAAGGAGAAGGTGGAGTTTAAGGAAGGAGAGGGAAATTCAATTGATGAGAATAAGCAAAGTCTTCATGAGGGCAAAAACATTTTAAGTGAGGCTTAAAAGATATGAAAAGTTTTTAGAAGGGAATGGAGAAGGGAGGGTGTTTCATCCAGTTGGAGCTGCGGACGAGAGCTGGGTGAGAATGGGCTGTTTTGGTGAATAGTAAGTGTTTTTGGTTTGATTAGTGTACAGAGTATAGTTCAAGCCTACAAACTTTCATTGAGTGCTTATGATATATATTATTTGCATTTTGATTTTTCAGGGTGGGAGTGGTGTAGTTGAATGTTCCTTTGGCCTAAAGAAGAGGAAGCAGAAGAGAGGAGCTATTGAATATGTGGAAATGAAGGGGTAATTGATGGAAAACTGGTACTTGATAGAATTAATCAGATAAGTGGAGTTAGCCTTGAATTGAGAAAGTCTGTTTTCCTCTGAAACTATGAGGGAAGGAAGGAGACTACTGAACATTAGATGAATTATGAATGCCTTTGCATTTTGTATCTGTGGAATTGATCTATAAATTAAAAACATTTATTGAGGCCTTATTATCCCAGGTACTGGCACTAAGAAAGCAAAAAATATGCTATTAATCTAATTTTTTGTTGATTCTATTCTACCAGTTTTTTTAATACAGTGCTCATATGTTGGTTATTTTTTAAAATCTCCTACAGTGTTTGAAATATGGTACCTTAAAAATAAGGGGACCAGCAAATGTTTACTGAATTGAGTGGTTGAAGTTTAATTTGAAGTTTTTCTTTCCCCTTTAAATACTTCTGAGTATTTGGTAGAGCTCCTAGCATTATTGGGATTCTCACTAGCCCAAAAGTAACTTGATTTAGTGAAATGATGAACTAGACTTGAAGTCAAAAGACTGGGGCCAGAACTTCTGCAGTTTGCCACCTGTATGATTTTAAGAAAATGACTCAACATTATGAGCCTCAATTTCTTAAAGTCGGGGTTAACTACTCATATTACCTACTACATAAAATTATCTAAGACCCATTATGTAAATTTATGTGAAAGCACCCTGAAAATAAAAAAAAAAAATCATGTAAGTTATTACAATTATCAGACCTTTCTTCTTCAGGACCAAATATTGTATGTGGATATAGAATTAATTTAGAATTTAACTGTTTCTTTAGTGATTTTGTTTTTTCCTAGTGTGTAGATTTCATGTATATGGCTAGTTGAAAAGAGAGTTTTGTGAAGACATAATTTAGGCAGATTTGTGTAAATTTTAACTCAAGCTTTATTCTTCTGTTTTCATGTGCCAACACTACTTAAACTCTGATGTGGCACTGGGAAAAATTTCATGAAAATGACTTTTTTACACATCTTTTAGGGATCCTCAATCTCAATATTATATGTATAATAAGTTCTTTTGGGAGGCTGTGTTTGAGCTCAGGGATGGTAGGTAAGTTTTAGGACTGAATGCATTCCTTATGGTGTTTAGAAAGTCTCTTGCTATCCCTGGGAGTGAAAGGGTGGCAATTAGAAATATGAGTATGAAAAACACCTTTGTTAGCATTGCTCTTGTCAGGAAATAGAGAAGCTTCCAGTCCTAATTACTAAAGGCTAATAGAGTTAGAAATTCATACACTTTATCTGGGACCATGTTTAAAACTCCCCAAAAGATGCCTTGCTCTACATTGAACCCTGGATGCATGACTGTAAGTTGATATTAGGCTGGCAAAGATAATGTTGACCCTGGCTTTTGTCTTTACAGGTATTTCATTAACAACGGAGCCAGTGTGGGTATTGTGAATAGTGAAGGTGAAGTTCCCTCTGACCTTGCAGAAGAGCCTGCCATGAAGGACCTTCTTCTGGAGCAAGTGAAAAAGCAAGGTAAACTAAGGGATCGGAGGGGGCAACTCAACATTGCCACTTATGGAAAATAACCCATTGCTGTATAGAACTTTTCATTGCCATATGATAGAAAAGGGTTAGATCTGTGTGCATAGCATTAGCCATCAATTACCAGTTCATGAATCCTCTTGAAAATTCACACAAGAATAGACTAAATGCCAAAAAGAGAACCAGTTCTTTCTTGTATTTGCCGTTCTGAGGTTATATACCCATTGTATGGTTAAGATGTCCTGATTTTGTTTTTGGTGATACAAGTTAGACTGATGAGGAACATGAACATTTCTTACTGTGTGTACATAGTATTGGTTTTGGCTATACATCATAAAATTCGAAGAAGAGATACAGTGTATCTCATGTACACTCACAAATTTGAGTACTGGCCATATTTTGTTTATGATTTTGCATCTTTTCTTTTGATAAGAGCTGAAAGCAGTGCTGGTGAATATATTTATTGCTGGTGAATATATTTATTGTAACTTCTGAAATGATCTTCACCCATACAAACCATGAACATTATTCTGGTAATTTGTTAAGGTAAGAAAGCTAACTTAGAAAAATGAAATTTAAAAATATTTATTTTATATTTTTATTTTTTTATTTTTTAAAGATTTATTTATTTATACAAGAACCGGGGTACAGGCCAGTTGTGCTGGAGGGTGAGAGGAGTCACCAGAGACAGAGCGGGGAACAGAACAAGCAGACTGATGAAATACACTGCTGAGGGGAGCAGCAGGTGAGACAGGAGAGGTCTGCCTAGTCATGTGGGATTCTCTCTGGCCGGCCGGGATCAAACCCATGCTGCAGAGGCTGCAGACTGCTTCACAGTGCGGTGCTCAACCGCCTGTACAATCAAGGGGGCCCTCTTTTGTATTTTTAAAAGAATCCATTTTTGAGAATAGGGCAAGAGTTTTCTCTTGGAGGTCTCTGTGTTCTTTTAATTAAAAAATGCAGATAACTGGATAGATGGTAGAGCAGGTCTTAGGAAATATGCTAGGATCATCACAAAATTTCATATACCTGATCTGTAGTGATTTTTAGTCTTTCTACTAAACTGTGTTGCTCATAATCTGTAGTATTCTAAAGGATTTAGCTCTGGTGGCCTTTCCTGATATGATACTTTAGAACAGTTGGGGCCACATCTGGTCATGTACATTTGTTTACACATTATCCAAAGCTGTGTTTGTACTTCAATAGCAGAGTTGAGTTGTTGTGACAGATTGAGAGGCCCACAGAGCTGAAAATGTTTACTATCTGGTCCTTTAAAGAAGGTCTGCTCACCCCTACCATATACCTCAAGGAGCTGGAATCAAAAGCAGGGAGGGCAAACTAAGTCTAAAGTTAGTGAAAGAAAGGAAACAGCAAAGATTAGAGCAGAAATAAATGAAACAGAGTCTAGAAAAACAATGGAAAATTCTTTTGAAACTAGGAGCTGTTTTTGAAAGATAAATAAAATTAACAAACCTCTAGTTAGACTAAGAAGACTCAAATAAATAAAATCAGTAATGAAGGAGAGATTACAGCTGATACCACAAAAATGCAAAGGGTCAATAGAAACTACTATGAATATTATATGTCAACAAATTGGCTAACATAGAAGAATGGATATGTTCCTGCAAACATATAACCTTTCAAGGCTGAATCAGGAAGAAATAGAAAATCTGAACAGATTAATAACAAGCAAGAAGATTAAATCAGTAAAACAATAAGAAAAATCCAGGATCACATTGTTTCATTGGTGAATTATACCAAATATTCAAAGAATAATTAACAACAATCCTTCTGAAACACTTCCGGAAAATTAAAGAGGAGGGAACATTCCTAAACACTTTGTGCAAGGTTAGAATTACCTGATAAGGACACTAAAAGGACAGATAAGGACACTACAAGAATTACCTTATAGAGCCAATTACTTTTATGAACATAAATAGAAATTTTAGCAAATTTCTATAGATAGAAATATTAGCAAACCCACCCAACAGTAAATTAAAAGGATCATTCACTATAATCAAATGGGATTTATTCTTGAGAAACGAGGGCTTAATATGTATAAATGTGTCATTGTGACACACCACGTTAGTAGAATAAAAGACATCATAGAATCATCTCAGTAAGTGAAGAAAAAGCATTTGACAAAACATAATATCCTCTCATGATAAAGATCCTCAACATATTCAATATAGAATTAATATCCCTCAACCTAATAAAGACTATATATGACAAACACATAGTTAATGTCATACTTGATGGAGGAAACTGAAAGCTTTCCTCTAAGATCAGAAGCAAGAGCAGGTTGCCCATCTCATTACTTTTCCTTCAACATATTAATGAAAGTCCAGCCAGAGCAGTCAGGCAAGAAAAATAAAAGCCATCAAATTTTGAAAGAAGTACAATTCATCTGTTTATAGATGATATGATCTTATATACAGAAAATCCTAAAGATTCTACCAAAAAACTTTTAGAACTAATCAATAGCTTCAATAAAATTGCAGGTGAACAAAAATCAGTACAGGAAGTACTTTGCTTTATTGCTCTTTACAGATGCTGTATTTTTTCTTCTTACAAATTGAAGGTTTGTGGCAACCCTGTGTTGAGCAAGTCTGTCAGTGCCATTTTTCCAACAGCATGTTGGAAACATCACTTTGTCTCGATGTCACAGTTTGGTAATTTTCATAATATTTCATTACTTTTTCATTATTGTATCTATATGGTTTTCAGTAATCAGTGATCAATATAGTGTGTATTCTGACTGATCCACTCACTGGCCATTCCCTGGTCTCTCTCCCTTTCCTCAGGCCTCTCTGAGACACAATATTGAAATCAGGCCAATTAATAACCCTACAGTTGCCTCTAAGTATTCAAGTGAGAGGAAGAGTTGCATGACTCTCAGTTTAAATCAAAAGCTAGAAATGATTAAGCTTGTGAAGAAAGTATATCAAAAGTCAAGGCAGGCCCAAAACTAGGCCTCTTTTGTAGGCCAAGTTATGCAAAGGAAAAGTTATTGATGGAAATTAAGTGTTAATTCCTGTGAATATTTGAATGATAAGAAAGTGAAACAACCTTATTACTGACATGGAGAAAGTTTAAGTGGTCTAGATAGTAGATTAAACCAACCACAACATTCTCTTAAGCCAAAGTCTAATCCAGAAGACCCTAACTCTTAAATTATCTTAAAGGCCGAGAGAGGTGAGGAAACTGCAAAAGAAAAGTTTGAAACTGGCAGAGGTTGGTTTATATGGTTTAAGGAAAAAGATCATCTTCATAACATCAAAGTGCAAGGTGAAGCATCAAATTTTAATGTAGAAGCTACAGTAAGTTATTCAGAAGATCTAGCTAACATAATGGGTGAAAGTGGCTACACCAAACAACAGATTTCAATGCAGATAAAACCTTATATTGGAAGAAAATGCCATATAGGACTTTCATAGCTAGAGAGGAGAAGTCAATGTCTGTCTTCTAAACTTCAAAGAACAGGCTGACTCTCTTATTAGGAATTAATGCAGCTGGTGACTTGAAGTGAAAGTCAATGCTTACTTACCATTCCTAATATCCTAGGACCTTAAGAATAATGTTAAATCTACCCTTCCTATGCTCTACAAATGCAAATTACAAAACCTGCATGACAGCAGATCAGTTTACAACTTGGTTTACTTAACATTTTAAGCCCACTCTGTATACTTACTGCTCAGGAAAAAAGATTCCTTTTAAAATGTTGCTGCTGATTGACAGTGCACCCAGGCACCCAAGAGTTCTGATGGAACTGTACAAGGAGATTAATGTTCATACTTGCTAATCTAGTCTACAGTTCATGGATCAAGAAATCATTTCAACTTTCAATTCTTTAAGCAATACATTTAGTAAGACTACAGATGCATAGATAGTAATTCCTCTGATGGATCTGGGCAAAGTAAATAGAAAACCTTCTAAAAAGCACTCACCATTCTAGATGACATTAAGAAAACTTGTAACATTCACAAGAGTTTGGAGGAAAGTTTATTTCAACCCTCATGGATAACTTTGAGGGGTTCAAGTATCAGTGGAAGAAGTAACTGTAGATATGGTGGAAATAGTAAGAAATGTAGAAGTAGAGCTAAAAGATGTGACGAATTGCTGCAATCTCATGATAAAACCTCAGCAGGAATTGCTTTTTAATGGATTAGCAAAGAATGTGGTTTCTTGAGATGTACTCTACTCCTGGTGAAGATGTTATGAACACTGCAAAGGATTATAAAGGATTTAGAATGTCATATAAACTTAGTGGACAAAGCAATGGCAGGCTTTGGGAGGACTGATTCCACTTTTGAAAGAAATACTACTGTGGGTAAAATGCTATCAAACAGCATCACAAGCTACAGAGAAATCTTTTGTGAAAGGAAGAGTCAATCAATGCAGCAAACTTAATTGTTGTCTTATTTAAGAAATTGCCGCAAGCACTACAGCCTTCAGCAAATATCACCCTGATGAGTCAGCACCTATCAACATCGAAGCAAGACCCCTCACCAGCAAAAAGATTATGACTCACTGAAGGCTCAGGTAGTGGTTATGATTTTTTTTAGCAATAAAGCATTTGTAAATTAAGATATGTATGTTGTTTTTTTAGACATAATACTACTGCATAATACTACTGCATCTTCCTACTTAATAGACTACAGCTTAATGTAAAAATAATTTTTATATACACTGGGAAACCAAAAATTTCATGTAACTTGCCTTACTTCAATGTCACTTTATAGTGTTGATCTGGAACCAAAACTAGCAATATCTCCAAAGCCGTGCCTATATATGGATGTTTCTGTACACAACAAACTGTCTGAAAAAGAACACAATCTCATTCGTAATATCAAAAATAATAAAATACTTAGGAATAAAATTAACTAAGGAGGTAAAAAATCTACACAACAATAGCCATAACCATAATATTTTGATGAAATGAATTGAAAAAGACACAAATATGTGGAAAGATATCCCATGTTCATGCATCAGAATAATTAATATTGTTAAAATGTCTACATTACCCAGCAATCTATTGTCTCAATGTAATTCTATCAAAATTCTGATGACATTTTTCACAGAAATAGAAAACCAATGCTAAAATTTGTATTTAGGAACCACAAAAGACCACAAATAATCAAAGCAATCCTGAGAAAGAACAAAACTGGTGATATCACCCTTCTGATTATAAACTATACTATGAAATTATTGTAATTAAAACAGTATGGTACTAGCCTAAAAGTAGACACATAGGCCAACAAAAGAACAGAGTCCAGAAATAAACCTTCACATACACTGTCAACTAATATTTGAATAAGGAGACCACAAGTACTCAGTGGGAAAAGGTAGAGGAAACTGGATAAAAGCTTGCAGTAAAGTGGAATTGGATCTCTATTTTATATCATTCATAAAAGTTCACTTGATAACGGAGTTAAGACTTAAACATAAAACCTAAAACTATAAAACTCCTAGGAGAAAATGTTGTAGAGCAACCCCGATACAAAACGGGGTGCCTGACTGTGGGTCCTCACCCACGCGCTTAAAAGGACTTATCAATGCTCTACTGCAGGCACACGTGAAAGGTTAATAAAAGGTTTATTGACAAGGGAAGGGGAAATGAGGAAATGTACAGCTCTGGGAGAAAAGTGGGAGACAAAGTTTTAAATGAGTCCTACCCAATCCGCCGATCAGGAATCCCAAAATGGCGCTCTCAGAGCTGGCCGCCAGCCAGGAGCGGTGAAGCCAGGAGGCGAGCAATCGCGAGCCAGAGACAGCCCAAGGCCCACGTGTTTGGTTTTTATATCCAACCTGGCTACCCAACTCCACCCTCAGGTCCCAGCCACCCTCCCTTGGTGGTGATGGGATTTGTCTTTCCCAATGTCTTGATGGCTTTAGTCTGGAGTGGGGGTGGGGTCCACAAAGCCTGTATGGGATTAACTCAGAACATCATTTCCCCCTAACAAAAACACTAGGGAAAAAAAGCTTCTTAACATTTTTCTTGATAATGATTTTCTTGGTAAGACACCAGAAGTACAAGCAACAAAAGCAAAACTAAATAAGTGGACTATATTAAATTTTAAAACTGCATGACAAGAGAAATAATAAACAAAATGAAAAGGCAATCTCCTAAATGGGAGAAAATATTTGCACATTATATATCTAATAAGGTGCCAATATTCAAAAAAATATAAGGAACTCATATCTCAATAGTTAAGTAAGCAAGACAGTACCAAAAAATTGGCAAAGAAACTGAATATACATTTTACCAAAGAACGCATACAAATGACTAAGAGATACAGGAAAAGATGCTCAATATCACTGTCATCAGGGACATACAAATTAAAACACTATGAGCTATCACCTCATTTCTGTCAGAATAGCTATCATCACAAAAACAAGAAATAAAATGTATTGGTGAGGATGTGGAGAAAAGGAAATCTTTCTGTACTATTGGTGGGATTGTAAACTGGTACAGCCTCTATGAAAGACAGTATGGAGGTTCTTCAAAAAATTAAAATAGAACTATTATATGATCCAGTAACCCCACATCTGAGTATATATCCAAAGGAAATGAACTTAGGATTGCAGACTGCACTCCCTTTTTCAATGCAGCATTATTCACAAAAAACAAAATATAGAAACAACTTCAATGTCAGTCTGTGGATGAATGGATAAAGAAGGTACTTTTGTGTGTGTGTAATTTTATTATATGATCAGTTTATACAGAATATGTATAATGAAATATTGTTCAGCCATGAGAAAGAAGGAAATTGTGTTATATGCAGCAACATGGATGGACCTTGAGGGCATCTTCCTAAGTGAAATAAGGCAAACTGAGAAAGACACATGCCATGTGATCTTGTCTCGATGTGGAACCTACAAGAAGAACAAAAATAAAAAAACACACTAGGAGCCTCCCTAGTGATGCAGGGGTTTAAGTGCTATCAAGCTATTGCCAGCCACTGCAGCCTGAGTTCCATCCAGGCCAGGGAAGTGACCCAAATGGCACAGCAGACCTCTCCTGTCTCGCCCGCTGCTCCCCTTAGCAGTGTATTTCAGTCAATCGGCCTGTTCTGCTCCCCACTCTGTTTCTGGTGAATCCTCTCACCCTCTGCCCCACCACTTCTGGCCTATACCCCAGTTCTTGTATGCATATATAAACAAAAATAAATCTTTAAAAAAAACACACCTGAAAACCAAGCTCATAGATACAAAAAACAGATTGATGGTTACTAGACAGATTTCAGGGGTGGACAAAATGAGTGAAGGAGGTCAAAGTCTCAAATTTCTACATATAAAATAAGTCATGAGGATGTAATGTACAGCACAGTGACTATAGTTAATAATAGTATATTGCATATTTGAATGTTGCTAAGAGAGTAGATCATGATGATCGTTTTGCAGTGTATACAAATATCAGTATGTTCTACTCCTATGTCAATTACACATCAAAAAATGCTAATTATGTGAGGTGGTGGAGGTGTTAACTAAACCTGCTGTGGTAATCATTATATAAATGTATTTTTATAAAAGCATTATATAAATGTGTGAAATATAATTGTATACCTTTTGCATACACAATACTCTGTCAGTTATATCTCAATAAAACTGTGGGGGAAGGGCCTCCCCGGTGGCGCAGCAGTTGAGCACTGGGTTGCAAAGCTGTCCGCAGCCTCTGCAGCGCCGGTTCGATCCCCTGCCACCGGGAGAGGGTCCAACATGGCGCGCAGACCTCTCCTGCTGGCCGCTGCTCCCCTCAGCAGTGTACTTCGTCACTCTGCCTGTCCTGCTCTCTGCTCTGGCTCTGGTGAATTCTCTCACCCTCCTGCGCCTCTGACTGTATCCAGTGCTTGTATAAATAAATAAATAAATCTTAAAAAAAAATGTGGGGGAAAAGAAATGAAATGAATTGTTGACCTCTTTACCTTATCCATCTCCCCACATCAGACATAACCCTGGTAGTTCACCGGTTCTCATTTTTAACAACCTGGAAGGCAGCAGACAAGCTCTGATAAAGCCTGCTAATGAGTATAAAATTCTTTGATTGGGGGCCTCCCCGGTGATGCAGCGGTTGAGCGCTGGGTTGCAAAGCTGCCCGCAGCCTCCTCAGCGCCGATTCGATCCCTGGCCCCTGGGAGAGGGTCCCACATGGTGCGCAGACCTCCCCTGCCGCCCACTGCTCCCCTCAACAGTGTATTTCGTCAGTCTGCCTGTTCTGTTTCCTTCTCTGGCTCTGGTGAATTCTCTCACCCTCCCACACTTCTGACTGTACCCAGTGTTTGTATAAATAAATAAATAAATCTTTTAAAAAAAAAAAAGACAACTCTTTGAATGGGTATGTTTATATTGGGGGTGCTTCATTATTTTCTATAATGGGGAATGCTCTACCCCAACTCCTTCTCATTTGCCCACATGCAGGAGTATTGTTGGCACCTTGGACTTCCTCCACAGTTTTTTTGGTTTTTTTTGGGTTTTTTTTGTTGTTTTTTTGGAATTGGAATTTCAATTTTTTTTAGTTATGTATTTTTTATTTTATACATTTTTTACATCATTTTTCATTTTTGCACAGTGTATGCATTTTCATCTTGGTTGTAGTCCCCATACAATTCCCACCCCCCAAACCTAATTATAATAAAGTAAAATCAAAATCAACAAGCTACTATAAACCAGAGACACACAGGGTGGGGATCTGGGAGAGGGAGTAGGACTTTGTCCATACTGGTTTAAAGGGAAACAAAATCTGCATTCCCTTGGCAGTTTTAACTGCACATCATCCGCTCCTCTGCACTAGATTATATAGCTACAGGTCAGTGTATTTTCCTGCAAAATGAAGTGAACTTTAGAGGTAGTTAATTTTTTAACATATATCATGCCTGAAACCAAGTTTTTTGTTACTTACATTATGGTGTAGTGAGAGGAATAGAATGGTAGACAGGAACTGAGGATATCTGAGTGCTGGTGACACTTCTAGTGTGTTTTCTGGCCTTGAGCAAGTTACCTACTCTTTCTGTGTTTGTTTTCTTATCTGTTAAATGAAGATAAGAATGTTTATGGTATTTACCTCAAAAGGTTGTTGGGAAATTAAAATGTTACAACATATAAAGTACTTTGCAAATATATCAAAAGAATGCTCCTTTGGTTTTTCTCTTCTATTGAAAACAGTTTTATGCGGTTACCATAATGGGCCTGCATCATAGACATTTTACTTGATAATTTAATGCTGATAAGAATGTTAATATGTGGAGAAATGCCACTGCTCTTCTAAATGAAGTCTGAATTTGATGACTACCCAGCTTGATGACTAAACTTTTTTGTGCTTATATTTCTGTTATGTTTTCAATCTCAGGAAAATATGTCAGATTTAAGTGGACCTTTAGTAATGTTGGTTATCTTGTAACTGTTTTTTATAGGAGTTGACCTAGAGCAGTCAAGAAAAGAAGAAGAACAACAGATGTTGCAGGATGCTCGCCAGTGGCTCAACAGTGGGAAAATAGAAGATGTGAGGCAGGCCCGCTCTGGGGCCACGGCCCTCCATGTGGCTGCTGCCAAGGGCTACTCTGAGGTGCTCAGGTATTGTCCATTTTCCTCACCCAGGGGTTTGGCTGACCAGAGGAAGATGAGTTGGGTATTGGAAGCAGAGGGTGAAAGATTTTCAACTATGCTGTGCTTCTTTTTTTGCTTGTTTTCTCTCTGATCATTTAGTCTTCTCTCACATTTTGGTTTATTTGGGTATGTATGGGTCCTCTCCCTCCTACCATCATCTAGCTTCTTACTGACATGAATAATATGAAAAGGTCTGAGGCACACTGGTGTGCAAGGTGACCTCATGTACTGTCTTCCAGATCTATGATTCATCATTAATATCCCTGCAGTCTCCTCATCTTATGACATGTGATACTGGACAGACTTGGGATTATTTTGGTCTTCTTTAGGCACAATTTCCTCAGACTCATTAGATTAATTATAAAGACCTTCAATGTGCGACACTACTCTTTAGGTAGGATAATCACACTTGTGTGAGGGATGTGTATTCTGCTACTCTACCTGTTTCATTTTTTCCTCATTTTTTCCTTACATCTGTACATGCTTTATGTAGCTCTTGGTGCTTAAAGCTGACAGGCTTTCCCAAATACATGGATTGTTAAAAGCATTGTGCATGTAGTTGTTGCCAGGTTTTTTCAATGATTTATATTCCACCTAATTCGGGGTTTCTAGTCGGTGTGGCAGTATGTTGGCACCCCATTTCTGCCCGAGAGTAGCATTTATACTCTTGGAAGATGTCTGGAGGTTCACGATAAAGGTAACCTCAATCAGCCCAGTGCAGTTGGGGCCCACCAGTCCTACCTTCCTCCTCCATGTACACATATTATAGCTTTATAGTGAGCCCCTAAAGATACTTTCAAAAGCTGGAGATATGAGAATCTACAATAAGCATGTGATGTCCTAGAAATACCATATAGAAAGCTAGTAAAGTACTCTAAAAATAATTGAGCTCTGCTTTACTTTCTCCCTGCATTGAAAAATGGAAAGCCCACCTGGTGATAGACTCCTATAATTTGGCTAATTGAATGAGGCTTTGGTTAATCTCAGGTACATGTCTTTCCATACACCCCTCTTGTGCAGTGTAACATGGATGTGCCTTAGAAATACCAAACAGTCTTCCTCAATACCAAATGGTTGATAAATGTTATCTGTGAATGGTTCTCTGTATAATAACTGTGACACCTGAGCTGTGCATTAGAGGGCAGAAGCCATCAGTGGTCCCCTTTGGTTCAGGGCCAAAATCAATTAGGTGATATTAGGTGAATTATTAATTAGATGATAGTTTATTTGGCAGAAAATTGTTATATAGAGGAGATAAATATCTTGTTTTGGGGTTTTCTTCTTAGGCTTTTAATTCAGGCTGGCTATGAGCTCAATGTGCAGGATCATGATGGCTGGACTCCCCTCCATGCTGCGGCACACTGGGGGGTAAAAGAGGCGTGCTCCATCCTTGCAGAAGCACTCTGTGACATGGACATCAGAAACAAGCTGGTTAGTAAGCTCGACTCTCTGGAAGGGCAGTAAGATCTGCTATGGGGTCTCTAGTGCAATAGGCTTAAAATCTGTTGAATGGCCAGGTTTATTGTCCAGGGAAATATGCATCGCTGGTCACTGTGGTTCTTCTCACCCACCCCCATCATCAGCATCAAGATATTTGCTCTGTAACATAAAACTTTTACTCATCTAGCTTTCTGACTCAATTTATGTTGACGCCCCTAAAAAAAGGAAAAAGAGATATTTGCCCTTTTGAATTGGGGAAGCCTAATGCCACTCTCTATGGTAAGATATGAAAGATTTATTTTATTTTAATTTGAAAGCATATAGCCTGGTTCTAGCCACACCTAGTCATTTAGTTGAAAATAGTATTATTCATTCTTATTTCAAGCAACTTAACAGCCCTGGAATGCCTATCCCTACATTTATTTACTGATTTTCTAGGAATCCACAGGTACAGATTTTTAATTAGTAGATGTTCTTACCTGCTTCACATATCTCCTGAACTCAGGTTTCATTCTTAAATTGTGGGTTAGGTCCTGAGCTGTGCTGATGTTTCCTAAAAGAGATAACCCTTCTCGCTTAAAGAGAGATTTCCTGTAATTGAATCTTTAGTGCACATGTGCCCTGACCCTCCCGAAGCTTCTAAGAAACCCTAATTGAATTTATTATGCCAATTAAGATCATTTTAGCACAGGTACAAGTAGAGATTTCAATTGATTATTTGCTATGAGGCAATAGGCTTTAGAAATGATGTGATTTCAGGGTCTCCCTGGTGGCACAAGGGGTTAAGACACAACCTATGAAGCTGTCCGCAGCCTCTGTAGCACGAATTCATGTACAAGTTCAATCCCCAGCCTGCCAAGGAGCAACCCACAAGGCGCAGCAGACCTCTCCTGACACGCCCACTGATCCCCTCGGCAGTGCACCCTGGTTAATCTGCCTGTTCTGTTCCCCACTCTGTCTCTGGTGAATACTCTCACCAACCATGCCTCTGGCCTGTACCCCAGCTCTTGTATGCATAAATAAATAAATCTTTAAAAAAATGATGTGATTTCATATGTGACCAACTAATCTATGACAAAAGGAATGAAGAATATACTCTGAAACAAGGATAGCCTCTTCAATAAATGATGCTGGGAAAATTTGAACACCATATGCAGAAGAATGAAACTAGACTACTATCTCACACTATACACTAAAATCAACTCAAAATGAATAAATGACTTGAATATAAGACCTGAAACCACAAAGTATATAGACGAAATATCAGCAAAACTCTCCATGACATAAACCTCAGAAACAATAGTCTGAAAGTCTGTTAAATGGCCAGGTTTATTGTCTCATCTTTGAGGACAAATAATCAGAAGCAAGGAGAAGGAACTTATCTCTTTGAGAACTCATCTCCAGAAGCAAGTAAAGGGAAGGAGAAGAAAACAGCTAGGACTACATCAAACTAAAAGGCTTCTGTACAGCAAAAAAGATAGTAACCAAAATGAAGAGACATCCTACTGAATGGGAGAAAGTATTTGCACACCATGCAACTGATAAGGTACTGGTATCAAAGATCTACAAAGAGTTCACACAACTCAACAAAAACAAAACAAAAAACCCAGGCAAAAAGTGGGGAGAAGAGATAAAAAGACACTTCAAAGATGAAACTCAATGGCCAACAGGCATATGAAAAAATGTGCAACATCACTAATTATCACGGAAATGTAAGTCAAAATCACGATGAGATACCTCCTCATACCTGTGAGAATGGCCCATATTTAAAAAACGCAACAGCTAATGCTGGCGAAGATGTTGAGCAAAAGGAACCCTCTTACACTGCTGGTGAGATGCAAACTGGTCCAGCCACTATGGAAAATTGTGTGGAGCTTCCTCAAAACACTAAAAATGGATCTGCCAAGTGAACCTGTGATTCCATTCCTAGAAATCTAACCAAAGAAAACACTGATTTGAAAAGAAGCCTGCTCTCCTGTGTTTATTGCAGCACTATTTACAATAGCCAAGATATAGAAGCAACCTAAAAACTGAAAACCGATGAGTGGATCAAGAAGGTGTGGAATATACACAGTTGAATACTATTCACAATCAAAAAAGATAAACTCATTGCCATTTACAGCAACATGGATGGAGCTGGAAGAGGATTATGCTAAGTGACATAAGTCAGAGGGAAAATACAAAACTAGCAAGCTGCCCATAGAACTGAAGCATACAATAGGGAAAGGGGAGGGGTAGGAGACAAAACAGGAGGGAAGGGCACAAGGGACTATGGTGATGGTTTACCAGTGCTATGGTGGTGGGAGAACTACGGGCACTACACCTGAGGAAAGAAAGCAAATACTATATCAAAGTGAATAATGATATAAGAAAATAAATAAATAAATTTAATTATAAAAGAAAATATGATTTCCTGATAATATTTAACAAAATATAAAACTATATTTAAAGGATGTTCTGTTTCTTATTATGTTTCCTCTATGATAGAAGAAGGCATTATCAAAATATAGATTCATTAGGGGAAGCAGCTATCATAGGAATCAATACATAAAATGAATATTGAATAAATATCAATTACATGAGCAGCACTTTTGCTTTCTGTTGATTGTGGTACAACTTGTCTTTGCCAGGGACAGACACCATTTGATGTGGCTGATGAGGGTCTTGTGGAGCACTTGGAGATGCTCCAGAAGAAGCAGAATGTGGTGAGTATCTAGTTGATGCTTTTAAAGCTTTTGTAAGAGTTTGCAATCCACAGCAGGTATCTTAATCCCTCATTTCAGTTATGTCTGCTGATAGCTGAAATAGACATATCTGCATTCCAGAGATGGTAATTGTTCCTTTCAGGGATTATCTACAGTCTGTTAGAAGAAAATACCCCAGAAACCACTGTTGTTAAAGTTTACTCATTCTAAGCTAGACTTCCTACATCTGAAACTCTTTAAAAACAGTAACAAACTAACAATTATACTTGAGTTCTAGAAAATGAATGTCATATGTTCAAATCAGAGTGTTGTTTTTTTGTTTTTTTTTTCAGACATAGAGAGTACCAGGGTACTATCTATAAGGGGCCTAAGTAATTTGGCAATAAAGAATAAAGATCAGTCATATCAGGAGCTTGAGAATTTGAACAGGTGTGACAGAAAAAAATTACTAATTTTCCTTTGTTTTTTCCTTTGTATGGACTGTGGCTGAGCTCATATGAATTTAAGTTTAGGGCAAATGTGAGTAACAGCCAAATAAAAGAATATAGCTCAGGGATGGGAACAAAGCAACCATATCTACATCTACCCTTCTGCATGTTCTGCATCTTGTCTGGACTGGCAACATGAAGAGCCTCCTTACTCCAGACTCAGTGGGAAAGTCATACTTGTGAAGCTCAGACACCACTTTTAGTTGATTTTGTTTTCTTTTTTTTAATTTTTTTTATTTTTTTTATGTTTTTTTTTTTATTTGTTTGTTTGTTTGTTTTGTTTGTTTATACATGCACTGGGTACAGTCAGAAGCGCGGGAGGGTGAGAGAATTCACCAGAGCCACAGAGGGGAACAGAACAGGCAGACTGATGAAATAACTGCTGAGGGGAGCAGCAGGCGCGGCAGGAGAGGTCTGCGCACCATGTGGGACCCTCCTCCGGTGGCCGGGGAGCAGCTGGGGATCGAACTGGCGCCGCAGAGGGCGCGGGCAGCTTCGCAACCCAGCACTCAACCGCTGCGCCACTGGGGAGGCCCTGATTTTGTTTTCTTTGATGAGCATTGGAATCACTAAATGCTAGGACTCCACGTACAATGTCAGTGCTGTTATTTAGCAGGGAGAGGCCTTCCTAATATGAGACATATGCTTTGCATTGGTGAGCTTTTGTGTTGTTTTTTTTTTTTCAGAGTTTACATTTTAAAATAATTCATAAACTCACATAAAGTTACAAGATAATATAGAGTTCTGTGTATCTTTTATGCAGCCTAGTCCTGTTTTTTTTCCCAACATAAACAATATTTTCACTAAATAACATTGCTCCACTACTGGAAATGGTGCTTCTCTTTGTTCCCTGAATAACTTCAGGATCCAGGGATATAAATATATTTTGTCTAGAACATGTATTCAAATACCAAGTAATATTTTCTTAGGTCTTATTTCTCATTTGGTAGTTTTTTTTTTTCCTTCTTTAGAACTCTTTCCAACTTGATTCAATGTGTAGATCACAAAGTATTCTTTGAAAGTTCCTTCTGCTTTTTGTCTTTCACAGGCGAGGCTTTTTTGGAAGATTGGGTTTGGATATTTGATATAGGGGCAATTTTACTGAAGCTCTAACACCATGGTTTTTCTCTTCTACCTTGGGGGAGGATATTTTTCTGTCAATATCTTTGAAGGAGACCCCACTTATATGTCTCTTTTTTTTTTCTCAGTCCTCATCTTCCCTTTTCTGTTGGTGCTGTCTTCTTCTTAATGACAGTATCATTTTTAATTCTCTCATTGCTGCTGGTTTTTTTTTCCAACAAATTCTTCCCTGTTTTTTTTGTTTGTTTGTTTTTTTTACCAACAAATTCTTCTCTGTTTCCTCAATTTCCAGCTTCGAAGTGAAAAAGAGACACGGAATAAACTCATTGAGTCAGACCTGAACAACAAGTTGCAGAGTGGCCTCTTTAAGAAGTAAGATACTTGGGGCTGGAGGACTGTGATAAGCTGCGCCACGTCTGGGTGTGCGATGTGTGACATATTTAGCTTGAGAATTTACATAGTAAAGAAACAATGTTTGATTTTAGCCAAATGATCTTTAAATATGTGGGAATGTTTGAGGGGAAAGCGGGTGGTATTGATATGTGGGAGAGACACTGAAGATGAGTGAACATGTTTTAAACTTAGAAATTTCTTAGTTAGGAGTACGCATGCCCAGATGCTTCCCTTCCTGTAAGTTCTGTGAGCTCAGGGACCATGTCTGTTTTGTTTACCACCATGCTAGTGCCTAGTGTGAGTCCTATTGTGTAATAAGCACTCAGCAAATATTTATTAAATGATTTTTATCATTTAATCATTTATTTAATGATTTTTTAAATCATTTATTTAATGCTCCACCATTACAAGACTCATAAACCTTCCTTTTTGCTGTGTGTTGAATACATTAGATTTTCTTAAATCACACTCTAAAGTCAGATATTGAAGCTAGTCTTCAAAAACCGTGGACACAATGAAGAATACAATGTAAAGGTGGATTTGAATACATTTCTATTATTGCTACTACTGTCAATGAACTTATGAAATTGTCATTTCTGAAAAATTCTCAAATTTGTCATCTCTAATTTAGCAAAGAGAAGATGCTCTATGAAGAGGAGACACCGAAATCCCAAGAAATGGAGGAAGAAAACAAAGAATCCAGCAGCTCCAGCTCAGAGGAGGAGGAAGGTGAAGATGAAGCTTCTGAGTCAGAAACTGAGAAGGAGGCAGGTAATGTGAAGGTGTTGATAGCAGAGATCCTCTATTTCCGTAGTGTGAGGAGACCACTGCTCTCTGGAGAGCTAAGTAGGGCTCAGAGCACCCCACAAAAAGCTTTAAGTTTAGTTTTTAAAGAAAAGATATCAGCTTGCTCATGACAACCTGACTGTAAGAGCTGTGAGGAAGCCAGTTGTTCTGACCTTGGGTTGGTAGATGGTGTAGAAATCAGATTCCAAAAATTCAGTGTATCATGAGGGAAAGGAGCTGAGATCTTGCAGAGGCACTTTTGGCAAAGCAGCTAGTTAACCAACTAGTGAAAATTTGCATTTTGTTCTCAGGTTTATCTGAGTCCCCAAACAGAAGCCCCAAATCTTTTTTATTCCTTTTCATTATGTAAAGCTGCTATAATTCCTAAGTCAGAGATTGAAGAATGAACAAAATCATGTTAGCTTTTATGATTCATGTTGATAATATGCACATCCACGGAGCTTCTTAAATGTATTATATGGCAAGTGAGGAACCCCACCAGTGAGAGCAAGGTGCTTAACATTGATCAGGCCCATAAACCACAAAACTACCAGAGGTCTTGGTGTTTAATCAGGCAAACACTGAGAAGAGACAATGGGTTTTACTGAATAGAAGTTCAATTGCAACTAAATAGTTCTCATTGATAATTTGAAGTTAATGATAAATGAAGATTTTATGGTACATATGACCCATGTTCTCTGGCATATTGTAATCCAGATTTTAGTCCATTAGAGAATGAAATGTTTCCATCTAGAAAACCAAGTTAGAGGGGTAAGGGGAACACATGAAATTTATAAAGGAGTCTATGTTTTCTTCTAACAGTCTGCGATGGCTGGCTACCCATAATGAAGACATTTAGCTCATTCTGTTTATGCGGGCCCCAGCTCCCAATGAGGTTTTACTTTACTGACCTGGTTTTTCTTAGTTATGGGAGAATACTGCCTTTCTTCATTTCCCAGTCGCTGAGGCTTATGGAATGTACCAAAGGAAGTTAAGAGACTAGAATTCTGCAGAGAAGACAGGCACCAGCTAAGTTTGTAGTATAGGAGATGACCTTTTATTCATTAGGACTTGGATTTCTAATACTAAGCAGGTACAACTTGCTCTGGAAATGCTAGTGTAGTATATATCAAAAGTTATGTGTCCATCTTTTTAAAATTTTTATTGTTATTCAATACTTGCATGTCCTAGACTTCAATATTGTATGGAATTAATATCTGGGCTTGCTCTATGCTGGATCATTTTGCTAGCTACCAAGGCTTTAGAAGATTGGGAGGGAACTACCTGAACTACCATAATTGCTTCCTGCTATGTCCCATGGGCTTCCAGTCCTTTGTTCCCTCCAACCCATCTCCACATTACTGTTGGAGTAAAGTACTCACTGCTCCCTTTTTTGATCAGGCTATACCTCTTTTCAGAAACCTTTGATGACCAACTTCCCCATTCCATCTCTACCTGCAGAGTTAACTCCAAACCCTGTAGCCTGTCCTTCCAGACCTATTGTAATCTAGCTCCAGCTGACCTTTCCGGTGCACATATAGGTGAGGACATACACTTGCATGCCCTCAAACATGCCCTGAGCTTTCCTACCCCTGAATATGTATTTGTGCCTTAGAATTCATTTCTGGCCATCAAATACTTATTGAGAGGTTTCTACTAGCAGCTATAGAATCTACCAGACTGAAGAAATCTTTCCTTAAGTTTTCCTATACAAGAGGCTAAAAAGTAGTGGACCACTTCACTGTTTTCCATCTCATGATAGTTCTTCCCCTATTTGTATCTCTCTGGTACTGCACAGTTGCCTCTGTTTTAGCACTCATCATTTTGTGGGGCACTCTAGGTTTATCATTATGCGCCCAGGTCTCAGCACAGCGCTCAGCACCTGCAGGTGTACACGTTCAGTACATGTTTTTTGATGAATGCATGTAGGGAACACAGGGGACTAGATAATCCACTAATAAAACACACGTTACATAAGCTATAAATGCAGTCTTCCTCTAGGAAGAAAGTTTGGGGATTATAATTGCACTTTCCAATTACTTAGTGCTTTTTTCTTTGCTACACACTTAAACATTGTAATTAAATCCCTATAACTGCATTCTAAGGTATATATTATTACCACCACTTTTTCAAAGAAGAAATTGGCACAGTGGGAAGTTAGGCAAATTAGGTTTCATATTATTGGCAAGTGGCGTGTCTGAGATCCTGACTTTGATCTGGGGCTCCTCAAAGTAGCAAGGGAAGAGCAAAATGTGAAAATTGCCTGCCTCTGAAGTAAAAGCTGTGGGTTAGAATAGTATTTCCTGAGGGAGAGATTATAGAGAAAAGAGGTATGAGAAAAGCAGGTTGTGGCAGCTGTGTTTAGGAAGTTAAGTGGAATCGGTGGAGGAGGCAAAGAAGGTATGGTCAGAAGGGTTGAGGAAAATCAGGACATGTGTTTTGGCATCAGAGAAGCCAGTGCAGGAGTGAGAAGGGAGAGATTACAGAGGGTGTGTGAATTAGGCAACCACTGGTAATGTCAGAGAGCAGTTCCGGTGTCCTGATGCAGGCAGAAGCCAGATGGTTCCCTGCCAGTTGAAATTTTATTCATGTCCCAAAGCCCAGTTCCAGTCAACTTCCTTTATGAAAGCTTATCATCAGAGATACAAGTTTTGCTTCCCTTTTATTTGTTTGAACCTCTTTTATAGTATCTAACCTGCTTAGTATTAACATTTTTTTCCTTTTTTTCCCTCACATCTCCTCTCCTCTTCCCCCACCCATATGTTTTCAAGGCACTTTTACTGTATTACATGTCATGTTTCTCTCTGCCTTCCACACTGTCTAGCACATGGCCTGCTACATGCCGGTGCTCAGTACATATATATTGGTAGTATGTGGGGAAATGGATTATGTCTAAACTTTTGCAGTGATGCCTGACATACACATATGTACTGTTAAATGCATTTATCCTGTTTTTAAAGATCCATAGATATAACCTTATAAAATGGAAGCTATCATGTATCTTACATATAATATGTTGTGGTAAAGCATACCAATTATATTTGAAGGTGAATGTTATCATTTTGATTTTGAGTTCTGTTTTTTCCCTTTTATTTATTTGACTTAAACATTTGGTGTATTAGTTATATATTGCTGCATACAAGTCTCCCAAAACAGCTATTTATATGCACCCAATTGTATAGATTGGCAATCTTGGGAAGAGCTCAACCTAGAAGATATTTCTTTTACTCGTACTGTAATGTGCGTATGGTAACACTCATGTATTTGTGATCTGTTAGTAAGTCAGCTGGGAAATGACTGTTCCTGGGGGCCTTACTCACCCTTCTGCTGCTCGACCAGGATGTTTGGGTCAAGTGCTATGTGTCTTTTACCGTCACATGGCAACTAGATTACAAAAGTAAAGCTCAATGCACAAGTACTTTCCTTGCCTCTTCTTATGTCACTTTTGCTGATGTCCCAGTGGCCATAAAAGTCACATTGCCAAGTCCAGAGCCAATAGGAGAGGGTGCTACACAGGATATGGATTCCTTGGGAGTTACTGCTATCACATTTCACCACATTTGGATAGTGAGGTAGATTTCTTGGGGATAGAAAGATTCAGGTAGTGTTTAAGAATGTCTTGAATATTCCCAATAACCACAAAATAAGAATATGAATAATAATAAAACACTTACTAGAGACTTACTGTGGCCAGTGAACTATAATTAAAAATAGTGACACAATTTAAAAATATTACCTCTGATATTTATAGTAACTCATAAGGCAAGAATTAAAATCCCTGACTAGTCAATGAGAAAATAGAAGTTCAAATATATTAAGTAACTTGCCAGGGTCATACAGCTAGGATGTAGCTTAAAATTGGCACATAACTCATGGATGGGTTACTCTGGGGCTCTGTGCCCGAAGTATGTAGACCAGATGCCCTCTGCACCCACTGGTGTCTGTCTCATTCTCTGCTAGTTATCTGATGTACACAGTGAATGAGCAGACATGGTTTCTGCTTGGTGGCCCCATAAGATGGACCACTTCTATTTATGTTGTGAGGGTTCAAGTACTAAAATGCTATAGCTTCACTTGCAATATCCTCTGTAATCCTTTCCACCCCTATTTCTTATTGTGATCCCCAGAATACCCATCATTTAAGTTAGGTTTGCCTCTGCACTGACCAGTAAATGTGTGTATTTTGGTCTCTGAGCCATTACTCATATCCTTTCTTCCTCCTGCCAACTGGAATTTGTCTTCCAACTTCCTCTATGGCATCTTTCCTTATCATTCCCTTCTCAGAGGATTTGCCTCTTCTCTGAACTCCTAAAGCACTTGCTCTGAATGAGCCAATTTAGCAACCTCATTACATATGAGCTTGGGTAGGCGCTTTTCTTAGTTGTAATTAACCTGGAAAGTCAGGGCGTATCTTACGCTTTTTCTAATTTTGCCTGCCCAATCCCTCAAAACAGAATAGATTGTTAATATGCAGTTACTGCTGAACTTTACATGTGATATGTAATGTGAAGATAGTTTTCAGTTTTGTGTCTAGGAACTGGAGTTAGAGGGTGCTATGATAGGAATACCATGGATTTTATTTTCTTATGGCAGTGTTTGCTAGAGATTTCATCATAGTTTGAGTCCAAGCATCCCATGGTCCCAATAATCTGTTTTGATAATGGGTAAAGGTTTTCTATTAGTAGAAAAGTATATAAACACACAGATACAAACTTTCCCTACTTGTACCTGTTGCTTCTTTTGTCTCAAATAACAGATAAAAAGCCAGAGGCCATTGTCAACTACTCCAACTCTGAAAGCAAAAGTAGTGCCACAGAGCAGACACCAACACCAGCGCAAAATACCTTCTCTGCCTCTTCTGCTAGGAGAGTGAGTACTGTGAAATTAATTTGGATATTCTATTTCCCCATAGTGCAGTCAGTAACACACCTGGGAGCCACAAGAGGTTACTTAGTTGAGGTGAAAAAGACAAATAGGCAGAAAAGAATCATCAGGACCTTTTTTTTTTTTCTTTTCTTTACTTCCCTCATAGTTTTCCTCCAGTCTTTTTAACAAGCCAGACGAGCCTAAGGATGAATCTCCCTCCTCCTGGAGACTGGGACTCAGGAAAACTGGCAGCCACAACATGCTGAGTGAAGTGGCCAATTCCAGGGACACCCTAAGAGACCGAGGCTCCTCCATCTACCGCTCTTCATCAAGCCCCCGGATTTCTGCTCTGGACAATAAAGATAAGGTGCAGTTTGGATAGGGGAGAAGAGAGTCCCAAGGCACGGTTCTCAGGAACAAAAGAAAGTATTTTCTAGTCCTTGATTTGATTCTGGTCCTTAAAGGGGCCAGGCACTTGATGGTTTCGTCAAGTAATTCTTGGCTAAAAAAAGAGCAAAGGCCTTCCCTTTTGGCACACCTTATGTTCATTCTTCCTGACTCTCCTTACCTAGGGCATAAAAGTGAGCCAGAAACATGAAAATTTGGCTATGGCCTGAAAGATCCCTCTGCAAACAATACCAATAATTTTTTCTTTTGATGTTTAAAAGTTAAGTTTATTAGCTGGACTTTGACTCCTTATAGAAGCTCAGGCAAATTAGCACTTAGAAAAAAAATTCTTTAGCTGTCTCAATTTTTCATTAGATGTATGACCAGGCTCACTTCACAAACAGCTCATCTCTGTAGTCATCCAAGATGAGGATATTTTTATTTCTTTACTTTTGCTTCCAAATTTTATCGGGCTCCTTGGTGCCCATCTCTGGGGTCAGGTCTTCCTGGTTTTTACAGTCCCCTTGCTCTATCCTGCATTTCTGGTGACTGCTCAAGAAGAGGAGGCATGCCGCCTGGATTACCTCTGCAGCATTTGCTATTGTGCTCTTGAGACTCATTTCAAAGGAAAAGTGGGCTGTGGAAGAAATAGGCTTATTTCATCAAACGCTTAGGGTGGAGTTTGTGTTGGTAGCTTTTCAACGCCGCCTCCTTTCTAGGCAGAGCTGCTGCTTTGTGTAGTGCTGTTTTTTCCCTTATTTGATCATCCTGACTTTTTCTCTTGAGAATTATTTCCCTACACATTGGTTTTTAATGGAGGAACGTTAGGAATAAGCCTTTGAAAACTAACTTTTTGTAATGCCACTTAAGCTGGAATGGGTATTGGATTTAGAAATAAGAGTATCTGCATCTACTAAGTTATGCTTTTTTCAGCCCAAAATGTTTTACACTGTGTCATTATTGTACCTTCCCTGTGTTTTACTTGTTTTGATTTTACAGGAGAGAGAAAACAAAAGCTATTTTAGTTCACTAGCATCCCGGAGGCTCAACAACACAAGTGATATTGAAGAAAAGGAGAACAGGTAATCCTAACACTGGCCAGTTGATGGTCCTCTCTAACTGTGCTGGTTGTAGTGATCTCCTAGAGATTTCTCTGCTGTCTTTCTTCAGGTGTACTTAGTACATTACATGTTGTTTATTCCTTGTGTTCTTAGGACTCCTCCCTGCCATTTCTCCCTTGCCTTGCCACTCTTTGCCCTTTGGGTTCTAACTCCAGCTTAGATAGTGCTGTCTTTAGTAAGTCTTCTCTGACCCTTCAAGAGTGGATTTGTTTTAGTCCACCAGCAGGCTCTGTATAGTAGGGTCTGTGTCTGTCTGGTTTGTCAAGAACCCCTAGTACTCAGCACAATGCCTAGCCCATGGTAAACACTGAAAGTGTTGTTGTTTGATTGAATTAATCAAGTTCTAATTTGTCAGCAGATAAAATTTCAAGAATTCCTCATCAGTTAAAATGAAGTATTGCATCTCAAAGCAGTACATGACCTAGAACCTTGCTTCTGGAAGCAAGTTAGAAAAACAGACCCTTAAGCACCACCCCCAACTTGCTTAATTAGAATCTTAGATTCACATGCACAATAAAGTTCAGGAAAGACTGCCTAGATGGGGCCTCCCTGGTGGCACAGGGGGTTAAGATGCAACCTATGAAGCAATCTGCAGCCACTGCAACATGAGTTCGATCCCCGGCCAGGGAGTACCCACATGGCACAGCAGACCTCTCCTGGCTCGCCTGCTGCTCCCCTCAGCAGTGTATTTCAGTCAGTCTGCCTGCTCTTTTCCCCTCTCTGTCTCTGGTGAATCCTCTCACCCCTTGCACCTTTGGCCTGTACCCCAGCTCTTGTATGCATAAATAAATAAATCTTTTTTTTTTGTTTTTAAAAAAAGACTGCTTAGAGAACCTTGTGAAACATGGAGACCCATGGCTTTTGTAACAAAGACCCTGAGTTCACAGTTGTGGATCAGAAATCCTACTGCAATCCTTTCCTGGGTGCCTTTTTCACTTATAATGCTAAAGAGGCTTCCAGAAACCCCCATCTCTGCTTATTTATGAGCAATCTACTTCTGGGACTGATCTGCAAAACATTTTGAAGAAGGACAATAGTGACTTTTCATTACAACAGGGTTAGAGACAAGATTTGGAATTTATGTTGAAGGTAGTTGTCTTCGAAGTTAATAAAAGAAAACAACAGTAATACTTTTCCTCCTTCTATACAGAAAATAGGTATAATAAACAATTGAATTGAATCAATTGAAATCAATCTGTTTCATTAGCCATATTACAGTTTGCCTATTTGGCTCTTCTCTCTGTTTGCTTTGGAGTGTGGACAAACACTGGTGATAAGAATCAGTGTTTTGTTTTGGTTTTCTTTCATGCCTGTACAGAGAATCAGCTGTTCATCTGGTGAGGAGTGGCTCTTACAACAGGCAGCTGTGGCGGGATGAAGCAAAGGGAAATGAAACTCCACAGACAATTGCTCCTTCCACTTACGTTTCAACCTACTTGAAAAGGTACCAGGGTCAAAGGCATGGGAGATGATTTTCCTTTACTCTGGCCATGGGCATATGGGTAATAGCTGCATGCCTTTTTATATCCAATTAGTACTGCAGAAATGAATCCAAAAAATGAATTTTCAATTTCTTGGGATTAACATCTTGACTAATGAAAATTAATGTATTTTCTTAGCTAAATTAAAGTAAGCTGATTCCAAATTCTCACCACAGATCTGAATTTGTCCTCTGTTCTCTCAGTCCTACTAAAATCTTCATCCAGAAGTGACTTCTAGTAATCTCTGAGTAGGACTGAATTTGTGTCACCCATGACAAGCTAGCTCTCCTTTTCCTAAAACTAGAGTACTTATCTCAAATTACTTTGTGGGGGTTGAGGGAGGAAAGGAGGAGCCCTATAGGGTGGTGAAGGGGGTGGTATATGGGGACAGTTTTATATTGTATTAAAGAAGTTTCATATTGAAGCCTGCTAATTTAGGGATTTGAGTTGTTTTTTTTTTTATGACTTTAATGGCCCTCAGATCCATCAAGATGTGAAACTCGCAAGTTTGGTGCAGAGAAGGTACATGGGTTTTCTTTCCCTTTTCTCATCTTTATCTTGTTTTCTGCAATTATTTTCTTTGCCATGTACCATCCAGCAAGCAAAGCACCTTTGCCAGAGCCATTAAGATACAAGATATGCTTAATTGGTATTTTAATTTGATCTTTGCTGCTGATGTGAAAGAATTGATTCTCATTGCTCACTTTGAATTCTTTCTTCACTTCTACTTAACCCCTCCAGCTGCCTTTTTATTTCATAGCTTTTATCAGGTTTTTTAGATTACTGATGACTCCACTAGAAATAGGCTTTGACCATAGACTATATGTTTGGGATCAAAACTTATTTCCACTTGATAGGAAGAATCTTATCAACTAGTTAATGTCAGAACATGGGAAGGAGTAACATAAAATAGCTACTTTTGCCTTCAGTGTCCTTCAGTTCTGCAGACATCCTGTAAGAAAGGACTCACCTTTTTTTTTTAAGATTTATTTATTTATTTATACAAGCACTGGGTACAGTCAGAAGCGCGGGAGGGTGAGAGAATTCACCAGAGCCAGAGCAGGGAACAGAACAGGCAGAAGGACAAAGGTACAGTGCTGAGGGGAGCAGTGGGCAGCAGGAGAGGTCTGCGCACCATGTGGAACCCTCGCCGGCAGTCGGGGATCGAACCGGCACTGCAGAGGCTGCAGGCAGCTTCGCAACCCAGCTCTCAAACGCTACGCCACCAGGGGAGGCCCGAAAGGACTCACCTTTGAGACTATATAATTCAGTGATTCCACTGAAGCTTTATTATACAAACTTGCTTATGTTGGTTTAATGAGATTCTCATCTATTTGTCTTCAAGGCTAAGACCCTTAGTCTATTAGGTGTATTATTATTCCTTATCATTGGATGCAAGACCAGGACAGCTTTTCTTTAAAGTTAATGTTCTAGGTCTAGGAAAGAAAGAAAACTGCCATTTAATTTTCAGGCATGTTGTTATTTGGGGGGAGGGTGTGGGGTGGGGTGTTCATTTTCCTGATCCACATCATCAGTAAATAGGCTGAGTGAGTAGTATTTGGTTTGATAGATCTAGTTTGGCATAATTATAGTGAATAGAGGAGAAAGGACCTGCCTCTCATTAGGATGGAAAGCATGCATAATTATGTGGACACTTTTTGAGAAAAGATCAACAACTTGCATCATGCTTTGGATTTCCAAAGCTGCTATTCTAGAACCCTAAGGCATTTTTTGATTTCACAAAATCTTATGATCTTTTCAGAAGGAAAGAGTCATATGCCATCACTGTTTAGAAATGAAAAGTGTGAGTAGATGTTTATCATTCTTGGCTATGCCAACCTAAGCATATATTCTAGCTCATCTCTTGTCATTTCTTTAGGCAGAAATTCCTTCATATGCCCCAGTAAAATGCCTCTTTTCCGATGAAGATGTCAGAGCTTATATTGATCATCCACTCAAATGTCTCATTACTATCATAATCAAGAAGTTGTGGTTTTGTTGTTTTTGTTTTTTTTTTACTTTAACACATTTTTTCCCTGCAATTGACATGGTTTTACCTGTTTTCAATTAAATCAAAATTGTTTTCTATTGCTCATCAGCATTACTTTCTAGACATAAAACTTTAAGTCCTCCAAAAGACATTTTTGCTTTAGGCGAAATAACTGCAGTTCTCAAAGTATCTTTTTTAACAGAGCTTCCTTACTCATTCTACTCTTTAACTTTAAATCTCTACTCTAGAACCTCTCCAAAATTCTTGGTCTCACTTTAACTTTAGTAGTGCTACTTCTGTATCAGGTAGATGTTTGGGATTGCATGATTTTTTTGCCTCTGGGTTTGTTGGGAATGATTTTTCTGATAAAATTATTCTATGTCCTATTATTTTCTTGGCCTCTCTCCATATATTCTACTCTTCTTTCTACTTTCTCTTGTTGCATTTTTATCTCTCCTCTTTCACATTCCTTCACTCTTTTGGATGATTGACAGATGCCTGCTTGCTGCCAGTGACCCAGCTCCAACCAGAGCTGATCACTCCACTTCCCAGTTGTCATACCCTCTCTTTGGCCTACATACCTTTTAAGTGCACAATCTTCATGGGAAGGTGGTGCTGGGAAATGGTGGGTGAGCAGCATGTCCTGAAGAAAGTGACCATGTACTGTTTTGCAGTGCTTCATTTGGTAGAAGTAGTGACCCCACAAGTCCCTACATTTCAGCCAATCGCAATTCATCTCCTGCTACCTCACCCATTACCATTGGTTCATCTACCTCTCGGGGCAGCCCGTGGCAACCTGCCTCCTCTTGTCCTGCACCAATCAGTGCAAACCCTACTGCACCTGTGCACCGTGGCAGGTAAGGCTTCTTGGAGCCATTCTGAGTTACAGTCACCGAAATTATTGCCTCTGGATACACATAGAAGATTTGAACCAAAGAGACTTTGTCACTGTAGAAGCAAGTCTGAATTCCTGTGAAAATATCTAATTTCATTAAAATGCTTTTGCTTTTACTTGTATTAGCTAGTCCATAATTATTTCTTGAATAGTCATTGGATGTATATTCCTTTGTACCTATTGATAAGGTATCAACTTAATATGACTGCTTTCATCTCTGAACCACCTTACCAGTTGTGATTACAATTTAAGCCCATACTGTTATGATAAATTGCATATTTAAAATATATCTTTCACTTATGTTAACTTTCTAGTTAACTAGTTTCTAGTTATAGAAATCCTGTTAACTAGTTTCTAGTTGTAGAAATCTCTTCTATTAGTCTTTTGGAAGGTGGCACATAAACCCAAATCAGAAAGACAGGTAGCTCTTGTTCCAAAAGACCCTGCTAGCATTCAGAAAACACAACAATGAGAAACATTGTGGGGAGGAAGAAATTAACGTATGTGTAAACTGTCCCTGGGGACAGTATCCTGCTGGTTTCTAGTCCACTGAAGGGCAGCATGGTCAGAGTGTCCAGTGCAAGTGCAGCGGTATGGCAGCTGTGGTTGTTACTGTGGTTTTTAATCCTTCATGTGTGGCGAGAGAACTTTTTGCTTTTGGGTAGGACAAAGGGACTTCTTTTTTGATCTTATTTCTGTAACTGATCCAAAGAAAATGAAAAATGTTAATGATAATAGTGTTGCTGCAAGTACACCGGCGATAGTAGTGCTTGATTGATATTTGTCGGTTTACTAGATTTCTTTACCTAAAATAAATGATCATTTATTTGGCCAAGAGGGATGGCTTATGATGGATTCTTTATACTAATACTGTATAATTATGTAGAAATTTATTAGATCCTCATAATAATTCAGTTACTTATGAGGAAAGACAGGCTTATAGTAGATTATTAATAATATATTGTATCACTATATACAGTATATTATTGATTACATGGAGACATTTATTAGGTCCTCATAATAATCCAGTTGATAGACATAGCAAGTATTATTATAGATGAAAAAACTATAAGAGGTCATGATTAACTATTAAGAGCTGGAACTGAGGGAAACTAATAACAGGTATTATTTGCTGAACCCTATTATGCACCAAACATTGGGTTAGGTGCTGTATAAAAATTACACTGGGATTTAGTTTATTCACACATAACAGTAAGTCTAAGTAATAGTGGCTTAAATATGATAAAGGTTTCTTTTTTCTCTTCACGTAAGAAAGACCAGAAAGCAGTGAAGATGGCACACAGCTTCCCAAAGTCATTAAAGGATCCAGGCTCCATCTTTCTACTTCATAATCCTTGTGTGTGGCTTCCATTCCATGGGAGGCCTTAGATCCAAAATAACTGCTAGAGTACTAGCCATTATGGCTGTATTCCAGGAAGGAAGAAGGAGAAAAAGGAGGAGTATACAAAAATTTAATTATTTCATTCTTGTATTTGCATTGCATTGAGAATTTTCTCAAAAGCGCTAATCTTCTGCCTATATCTTACTGGCTACCTCTAGTAGCCAGGAGACTTTGGATATTTAACTAGGTATGTTGTTGCCCTCAATAATGCCTGTGTTCTGTTGCTAAAGAAGAAAAGTAAAATGAATATGACTTAGGCAACTAGCTATCCCAGGCATACATTTATTATTTATAGTCTCATAGAGAGCCTCATTGTATGAAATAATTGTTCCCATTTATAGATGAAGAGCCAGGCCCCAAATTTAATCATATGCCAAGGTCACCCAACTCATAAGGAACTAAGGTAGAATTGGAATCTAGTTTTGTCCATTTCAAAGCTCTTGCTTATTTCATTATTTTGTTTCCATTGCATTTATATTTTATTCTGGGCACTGTACTTAGTGTTCTACATATATTATTTTATTTAATCATCACAATATCCCTGCTTTTTAAGATAACATTATCCTCATTTTACAAATGAAGAAATCAGAGAGGTTAAGTTGACTGAACTATAAATGACCCAAAGCTTCTGATCCCTGATTTGAAGCCCTTTCTCTTCCACTCCTAACAATCTACTTATAAAATCATACCACATTTCAAAATGATAGTAAAAAGCACAATAGTAATTTAATAAAATCCTTGGCATTTCTACAGCATAAGAAATTGCAGAGAGACCAGAATATGTTATTAACCTGAACAGAATTTTAGGTAAATTATTGATAGATATAATTTTTATAGCTTAGTGTCTGGCTAATTTTATTAGTACTTCCTATTGTCATATATTTTGTAAGTCTGAGGAATGATTTGTCTTCATTTTTAAAAATAAAAAGTAAATATAAAATTTCACCTTTTTTTCAGAGTAAACTGTTTCTGGAGAAGTGGTTTGAATTTTTTAGATACCACTTCAAAGCTGTTCTTTTTTTTTTTTTTATTGCATCTAGGTACCATATTTAGATGTTTATGACCTGATTATTTCTTTCAAGCTTATTCTAATAATATTATTTGAAAGCAAGCTCTTTGTAAACATTTCTGGTAATGATTGGGAGTAGGTGAAAACAACAGAATTTTAGCTGTCATTACTTTCATTGCTTTTCCCATCTCTGTGTCAATTTTGGATCTCTGTTACCCCAGCAACAAGCTGTGACATCACAAATGATAGCTTTTTGGGTGGAGAGCCAATGGTTGCTCTCAACTCTTTGTTAAGAAACAAAGATCTTGTTTTCATGTAAATGAATTTAATTATACAGCTTGCTGTTGAAAAGTCTGTAGTTAAGGTTACATATAGAATTCTGTTAGTTTTTCCTTCTGTTTCTTATTTATGCAATTATGAATCTAGACGATGGAGCATTTGTTTAAATGGAAAGAGAGCAGTTGCTGAGCTAGGTGGTATAGTTTTTAGCAATTAATCCTGGATAATCCAAGAAGATGGTCATCCAGTCTAGGTTGAGGACCACAAAGACTCTCATTGCCAAGAATTAAGGGGCAGGTGGAGACTAATATCGTAAGTGGCTCTAGTGTCCTTTTCACGTGCGTGGAGCGCCTGCCCCTGTGTGCATGTGTGGAGACTGAGTGGTGCTTGGGAGTCACGTAAAGAACTCTTGCATATGTCACTATCTTGCCTTGTGCCACAGCTAGTTTTGTTTTTTGCTTAATATCAGGTTTTTAAAAAAACTCATAATAATAACTCCTCAGGCAGAAGATGTCAGACTGAATGTGTGATCATCCTGTTCTAAGATTTAAGAGCTCAGAATTCAAAACACAAGCCAGCTAACAAATTCTAAGGAAGAAAATTATCCAGTTAAACTTATCTCAAGCCATCTGTCTCTGTGCCAGTGCTTTGTTGTGTAGCTTGTTTGATTATTCTCTTTCTGCTTGTGTCTTTTTTTGATTTCAGGACTCCGTACAAATCCCAGGCTGACTCAACAGCAGATAAAACAGGAGACAATGTCTCTTCTAGCACCCCGCTCTGTGTGATCACCAATCGCCCTCCACCTAGCACTGCCAATGGGGTTACATCTGCCACTGTGCTCTCCACTCCTGGAACAGACTCCTCGGTGGAAGCCAGGGAGAGGAGGAGGTATGATATGTGCTCATTTCATTCGTCGTATTTTGCTCTGAGGTAGGAAATAAAGGAGTGGGTCTGAAGTCTCCCCCCAATTTCAGATGAACTGAAGAAAATAATCTTTATGTTACAGATAGGGTTTTATATTTTGCCTCTGAGAGATTTTTTGGTGGAGATCTCAGTTATTTGTGATTATTTAACAGAGATCCTTTTTCTTTTATGGATAGAGGCATATCTTTCTTCTGTTTGTCTTAGAGACCATTCTGAGGTATATTTCTCATGTTGTGGTGGGGAACCTGAAGTGCAGAAAAGACCCTTTTGTCTTGTTCTGGGTAGTCTGACTGCTTAGCTGGCAGTGAAGAAAAGCAATAATTTGATAAAAGACTTGGAGAAATAGAGCTAAATTTAAAGTTTTAATTAATTTGAGAATACCAGAAAAGGAAATTAATAGTGTATGATGAAATGGTAGAAGAAAGTGACTGGCTATTCTGCAGTTTCTTTAGAGAGAAATTATGAGAGAGCAATCATGAATTGATATAAACAAGATTTCATGTAAGGTTGACTCTAAGGACTTTTTGTTTGTCATAATTAAGAGAACTTGGAAGATGTGGCCAAGGAGAATGGACCGTTTTCTCTCCCTTGAAGTGTAAAAAATAGAATACACTCCATTTGGGAGTTTCAGATCTTCTTAAAGACTGAGGCCACAATTATCCTTTCTTTTAAGACTGAAAAAGAAAAGAAATCTTATCAAATTGTATTTATTTATTTCATTTTATTTTGAATATTCAAAAGAAGAAGTTTTTGTGTTTGTGTATATAGCTGTGTAATAAGGCAAGAAATTGTATAAAACACAGTAAGTTAAACATTTTATTTGCTTATTATTTGAAGACTGCTCCAAAAATACATTTTGTGAAGAAATGGGAAGGAAATGTTGAGTTAAAAAATAGCATTTTTCTTTTTCCTTTTTCTTCCTTTCCTCCCTCCCTTCTTTTTATAATTTCTTTACATAAATAATTGAAGAAAACCAATTCTGGGAGCTAAGAGGTTGTAGAACCAACAGTTGTCATCTTTTAATTAGCTTTTAACCAAAAAATTTTAATAAATCAATGTTAAATATTTAAAGCTTACATACTTTACATAAGAATGGTTTTATCTAGAAAGTAAATGCAAAAGTAATCTTTTCATTAGTTGAAAAAGGCCCACTTTAAGAAAATCCTCTAAACTTGTCATTAAAATCATGATCCCTGAAAGGATGGATAACTCAGACTCTTTTCCAAACTGTGTTATTAGATACTTAGTTGCTTGAATCATTATTTAAAGAAATCTAGAAAGATAGTTACTGTCTTCTGGGAATTTTATCCTACAATCAATAAGATGACACCTGCTACAGACTTTTATTTGTTTTAGAAGTTTTATTTAATCCACAAATATTTTTTGAGTACCTGCTATATGCCACATATTATAACTAGGAGATTTTCTCCATAAACAACAAATATAAGAATAAAAGAATTAAGTAAATATCGTAATGAATTGTGAGTGTGTAAATATCAGGAAAAGTGCATTTTAGGGATGCATGAGATAGCGCATTACAGAGATGCTAAACATTAGAACAAAGGATTTATTAAATAATAAAATAAACAGGGAGATGGCTCAGATAAATAGGGACATATTAGATCAAGAGCTGTTGGCTCAGTCAAATGATATGTGTTAACATTCATTCTTTTCAAAATGTTTATTGAGTACCAGCTGTTTCCAAGTACTGTGATCAGCCCAGATGATACAGCAGTGAACTAGAACTTGGGAAACATATGCTAAGAAGAAAGACAAACATTAAATAAGTACTTATACTTGTGATATATATACTATGAAAATGTGTTGTGAATTATGACAATGCTTTCCAGAAGACTCCCCTTCTCCTGGGAATCACAGAAGGTTATCCTAAGAGTTTGATAGCCAAATTGATATCTCTAGGAGAAATAATAGCAACGTGAAGATAAGGGGATGAGTGTTCCAGGCAGAAAATAATTCACTTGAAAAGACTAAAGTGGGGCAATGCACAATCATTTGGAGAAACAGAAAGACAGCATTGTGACTGACATGGAGAGAGTTAGGTGCACTAAGAGGAGACTTGAGGAACAAGTGGGGCTCTCCAATGCAGGGCCTTTCAACCAATGATAAAGATTTTTGATATATTTTCTAAGAACCATAATGAGTCACTGGAAGATTTTTTTTATAATATTCGGTTGTCGGAAAAGTCATGCTGTTATTTTTTCTGTGTTTTTCAAGCAAAAAATGTGTCATGATTTTTCCAACAACCCAATAGTTTTAGAGAGACAGCATTCATATGCCATATAATTTATCCATTTAAGTAGTTTTTAGTATATTCGCAGATATGTGTGACTATCACTTTTAGATAATTTCATCACCTTAAAAAGAAATTCTGTTCCCTTTAGCTGTTGTCTCCCCATTACCACTAGGCCTAAGTAACCACTGATCTACTTTCTCTCTCAAAAGAGTTACCTATTCTGGACATTTCATATAAGTGGAATCAATATGTGGTCTGTTGTAACTGGTTTCTTTCACTTAGCATAATGTTTTCAAGGTTTCAAATGTTCATCACACTGTAGCATATATTAGTACTTTATTCTTTTTATAGCCAGATGCTTTTAGATTGTATGAATATATTTCATTTTGTTTGTCATTCTTAAATTGGTAGATATTTTAGTTATTTCCATCTTTTAGCTATTATTTATAATGTTACTATAAACATTCATGTGTAAGTTTTGTGTAGACAAATGTTTTTCTTCTCTTAGGTATATACTTAGAGGTAGGTCGAATGCCACTAGAAGATTATAAGCACAAAGTTTTATGATCTGATTTACATTTTTTATAATTCTGGCTTTTAAGCTTTGATTGCAGTATTGCATGTGACTTGAACAAGGGCAGAACGGACAAGAATGGATGTGAGATGACCAGTGAGGAGACCATTGTAAAAGAAAACTGCATGAGAGAGAGCAGAGGCTTGCACTGAGGTAGTGGTAGAGGAGATAGAGAAAAGTGAATGGGGCTCAAAATCTGTTTAGAATGACTCCAGAAGTGTGGTAGGTGGCATTACAAAGATCTCTTTCTCATTATAAACATAGAAAAATATAATTGAGTTCACAACAATGAAAGGGAATTTCCAGGTGACAAAAATGAAGAGACCCCAAAAGCCAAAGTGTTTTGAGTGGCCCAGGATTAACATAAAACCAGTTAGGCTGGAGGCTCAGATTTTAGTGCCATGTGTGGTTCTAGAAAGCATGGTTGTCAACCTGAGCAGGCTGGGAGCTGTAATCAAGAATTATATAGGGCCTCCCCGGTGGCGCAGCGGTTGAGCGCTGGGTTGCGAAGCTGCCCGCGGCCTCTGCGGCGCCGGTTCGATCCCCGGCTGCTCCCCTGCCACCGGAGGAGGGTCCCACATGGCGCGCAGACCTCTCCTGCCGCCTGCTGCTCCCCTCAGCAGTGTACTTCGGTCCTTCTGCCTACTCTGCTCCCCTCTCTGGCTCTGGTGAATTCTCTCACCTTCCCACGCTTCTGACTGTACCCAGTGTATGTATAAACAAAACAAACAAACAAACCAGCAAACAAATAAATAAAGCATGCCTCTATTAAAAAAAAAAAAAGAATTATATAGAGCTGCAATTCTCTTTTTTTTTTTTTAGAGGCATGTTTTTTATTTTATTTTATTTATTTGTTTTGTTCATTTTTTTGTTTATACAAGCACTGGGTACAGTCAGAAGCGCGGGAGGGTGAGAGAATTCACCAGAGCCAGAGCAGGGAGCAGAGCAGGCAGAAGGACCGAAGTACACTGCTGAGGAGAGCAGCGGGCGGCAGGAGAGGTCTGCGCGCCATGTGGGACCCTCCTCCAGTGGCCGGGGAGCAGCCGGGGATCGAACCGGCGCCGCAGAGGCTGCGGGCAGCTTCGCAACCCAGCGCTCAACCACTGCGCCACCGGGGAGGCCCTCTTTCTTTTTTTTTTTTTTTTTTAAAGATTTATTTATTCATTTATACAAGCACTGGGTATAGTCAGAAGCGCGGGAGGGTGAGAGAATTCACCAGAGCCAGAGCAGGGAACAGAACAGACAGACCAAGGAAACACGCTGCTGAGGGGAGCAGCGGGCGCTGCAGGAGAGGTCTGCGCGCCACGTGGGAACCCGAATTCTTAAAGGGCTTCCCAGTTCATGAAAAGGGTACTTTGCCCATGGCCAGAAAAAGTGTCAAGTGATGATGACTCACATAGAAACAGAAGCAATAAAGGAAATGAATCAAATGAGAAAGAGTTAACAGGTGTAGGGCCTCCCTACACAGCGCAGCGGTTGAGCGCTGGGTTGCAAAGCTGCCCGCGGCATCTACAGCGCCGGTTCAATCCCCGGCTGCTCCCCGGCCACCGAGGAAGGTCCCACATGGCGCGCAGACCTCTCCTGCCGCCCGCTGCTCCCCTCAGCAGTGTACTTCAGTCTGCCTGTTCTGCTTCTTGCTCTGGCTCTGGTGAATTCTCTCACCCTCCCGCGCTTCTGACTGTACCCAGTGCTTGTATAAATAAATAAACAAACCTTAAAAAAAAAAATTATAAAAAAAAAAAGAGTTAACAGGTGTAGGTTCTAAGATACTTCCTAGATGCAGACCAACATGTAATAGAATTTATAAATGCAGAACGGAAACCCCAAACTATTATTTAGTTGGTAATGACAGAAGAGATCAGCTGTACTGAAGATAGGCACATGTTTAGGAACAGTTAGGTAAATGAATCAGGAGTGGGTCTTGAAAGGTAAGATTTTGCAAGAATAGTATTGTATCTTTATAAGATTCTGCTCTAATGGGAACATAGAGTAATCACTTATTGAGATAGCCACGTGTCAGGCACAAAGGTATTAAGCATAAAGGTCAAAGAAAAACATCTTTCCCACCCTTGAGGAGCTTAAATTTATCGATTGTGGAAGGGTAAACCAGCAAATGAAATATTACAGCACTGCTAT